GAAAGATGCTGAAAAATGCATTTTCTGCCTCTCTGCTTCTCACTGTCTTATCTATGTTGATTGAATATGTGGGATTGTGCTAAGAAGGAAGGGAGGTTTTAATGCTCCCATTGAATACGAAAGCATGAGAAGGTCTCTCCTGCTGTTCTCTTTCTCTTGACATCCTCCTCCTTTCAAAAGTTTCTGGCTCACTGGTCAAGAATTAGTTAGAAGACTCTAAATGGGAAGAAGGCTTAGACTCAAATTCTGACTATAAATAAATGCGATTGAGGAGGTGAATATATGCTATTTGCAGTTGGTTAAAAAATAGATTTTAAAAGTTCTCACTGCAAAACATTGATAAGTCTGTTAAGTGATGGATATGGTAAGCAGCTTGATTTAATCATTCACAATGTAAGCATATATCAAAGCATTACATTGCAGCCCACAAATTATATAATTATTATTTGTTAATTAAAAATAGAATTAAATTTAGAAATTTTTGAAGTATACTTTTTTCTGAAATGTTATTGAACCTAACGGCACATTTTATAGCCAGAATAAACAAATCCAGAAAATGCAGTGTATATTGTTGTGACAAGAGAGAACTGTAAAATGGAATGAGCATTAGCTTGGGATCAGTAGGCTAGGTCTCCAGTCATGGCTCAGCCCCCCCAAAAAAGTGGCCTCAGCTAAATTTCTTCACATTGTGTTGAGGCTCAAAAGAGATCATGGAAAGCTGTTAACTCTGGGCACACAGTGAGCCCACAACAAATGTTATTAGATTTGTGTATGGGTTGCTCTCTTTCAACTGCTTATTCAGTTTCCATTGACTTGAATTGAATAAACCTATAGTACTGTCATCTGATTTAGGTTGAAGTTTACCAAACTGACATTTCAGATCATAGAGAAATGGATTAGAATAGCAAGGGACCCAATGTTGACTCTTGTATTGTGAACTGATTATCCTTAACCTATACCTTATTGAAAAATAAGTGATCTAGCGTCAGTGCCAGAGGACTGCAGCTTGCAGTTTTATGGCTGGGAGATGTTTAATTTTACACAGGAATTGTCAGGTTGCCAGGATTTCTGTCCAATGGGAAATCCATTTTCAGACTAAACACTAAGCATAGATTTAAAATGCCTTCCATGGGAATAGAGAAGAGAAAGCTTGGATCTTATGGAAAGACCATAAATGGCAGAGAAAATTCAGATACAAACACAGAACTTCATAGATCCATAGCTACCCCCATAGTCCATGCACACCAGTCCTTCAGAACCTGGTGGATGCGGGTAAAGCTTTCCTTAGAAATTAATGTGTCAAGGCTTTCGGGTTGTTCTTCAAGCAAATGGATAAGCAAGGATTAGAAATGGAATTCCAAATCAAGAAACGAACATTCCAGCTTAGGCCAATCCTAGTGGGACCAAAACAAGGTAAGATAAAAAGAAGCACACCTAAATCAAACCAGTTGTAATGAGCAAATGAGTAATTTAGGTTAAAAACAAAAGGTGGGATCAAAAACTGCAAAATGTGCTGCATTTTTGGTGTTACTTTTTTCCCGTTTCCCTCTAAGGATGTCTTTAGTACTACCCGTGTCCAGACTATACCAAAACAAAGGTGGCAAAACCCAACAAAAGTTGGAAACTTAGCAATCTAGCAATATCTACTTCTTAGCCTTGTTCTGTTTCTTGTCTTGGGATATCTGATATCCAGCCACAGTGTTTTGACTATGCACGTGGAGTGCCTGATATTAATCCTTCCATAAAGAGCCCCGTTAAGTGGGTCATCACGGGCCCCTCAGCACAGGTCAAAAGGATTCATAGCACAAGTGATCGTAGTTAAGGGCCAGGGAGGGATGAAGTGTTTACATCTCGAGATGGAGAAAGGGAGGACATACCTTATGCTCCTGAGGGGAGAAAATTTTGTAGTTCTGTAATAAAATGGTACGTTGGTAGATAAAAGAAAAGCAACAGTTTTTACTCAGCATGAAAATGAGTAGGGTAAGGCATTGGAAAAAGCATTAAGTTGAGTCACAATTACAACTTTCTTATCAATTTAATACACCTGTTGAGGCTGCAGGGGTGCAGGTAGAGCAAGGATTGGAGTTGAAAGGGAATTGCTTTCAGGCGTTTGGAGGACAGTCACGTGGGATGTTCCGTAAGTACTCATTGCCGTGTTGTATTGCTGGTGCTGTGCCACACGCTTTCCTCTCTACCTGTGAGCCACTTAGGAATTAGAAACATTTTTGCTAAGCGGTCAGCATATGTGGACCTGGAATTCTCACTCTCCAGGTCATGAAATCTACTCTGTTTGTCTGACGCTGAGCCAGTGACTTTGGATCCGGCCAGAGCCCAGCAACTTATCCTGTATTAATAGCAAGGCAAGTCTTAGGGGGTAGAGCTTCGGTATTTATAGGTTTTATCTTTTCAAAGTACTTTAAGATAATTTCATTCCCCTAATGGCCCTGTCAGAAAGGTGAGCTCAAAATTAGACCCATTTGAAAGACGGGAACATTAAAACACAAAATGTACATGAGAAGCACAATATGGAGCCAGGTTCTGGAGGCAAAGACACTGTGGCCTAAAGGAACCACCTAGTCCCTCCAGACCTCAGGGTCACCAACTGGTGAAGTAGTAGACATCGAATCAGGGGTTTTAAAACATTTCTGGCTGCCATTCATACTAATAGTTTGTAGTGTGACTCAGTGCACATATTTCTATGTATATAAAAATGCAACTGAAATACATTTCACAGAAAGATGTGGACCTTCACAGTATTCATTATTATATTACACTTGAATATTGTCTCTATTCCGTTCTGTTCCAGTTTACTATTTTTTTAAAGTCTTATAATTTCAACACACCAATATTGATTTCATGACTCCACTAATGGGTTAAAACTTATAGTTTGAAAAAACAGTGAACTATATGATTATTAATGACCCTTTCAATATTTATTTCCAGTTACATACCTGAAGTCAAGAAATCAGGAACTCAATACCTGGTCTAAAGACCATGCCCTGTCACTGCTCAGGTGTTTTGATAAGGTAATGATCTCTTCCTGAATTATGAGTCCCGCATTCACTCTTGTACTAATTCAAGCGTAGTCCTGTAATCTTTCTGCAGTTCATTCGAATGTTTTTTGATATGTTGATTAATTGTCTCACAAATCTTCTTGTTTGAAAAGACAAATCTAGGTTCGGATTCAAGCTTCGCTAGTTAAAACACTCTCCCTAATTTTCTTGAATCTTCTTGTAAAATGGGATAAATGAGCTTGTTGCCAGGGTCACCCATCAGCAGTGTAAGCCCATAGCATGTGCAGGTGCAGGTGCGGGTGTGTGGCAAGCATCAAATAAGCAGTCCTTTCTTGATGGGTGTGCTGGGCACTGTGCTGGCACTGGTGTGACAAAGACCACGACCTGGAATGCACCCCTAAGGGGCTCCGGTGCTTCTCAGGCTCACCCTCTTTCTCTTTTTGTTTTGTAAACTGCCTTGAAAATTTACCAATACATCACAAACATTTTTCTGTCAGCAAGTAGAACTGTAGGAAATAATTATTACATTTTATGATTGCACCATAATTTATTCCATCATTTCCTCCTTATTTTTTAGGTGCTTCTAGTTTTTTACTTTGAAAATCTTTTTATATAAAAGCAATGCATGAGGACTGAAATTTGAAATTGTTCTGTAGAAACGTAAAACCATTCTCCCTTTCTACTCCATCTCTTCCCATTCTTCAGCAATAACTACTATTAATAGTTTCTTGAGTATACTTTTTAAATGTTTTCTAATGCATATACAATTTTGCATATATTTATATAATTATGTGAATGAGTTAATATATATATGTAGAAAGCAAGATCTGCAATATGCCTTTTAAAATTAGTATATTTGGAACACCTTTTGTTGCTAGCACATGTAGATTCATTTTGTTTTCTAAGTGGCTGTATGTATTCCATTGTATAGATGGGCCATAATTTATTTAACTCATCCCCTACTTATTCAAATTCAGTGTATTCTAAAAGTTGTGTCTAGATTTTGCTATGATAAACAATTATGCCATAAACATCTGTGCACCCTCTTGAGATAACTGTGGGATAACTAATAGAAATGGAATTGTTTTATGTGTTTATAGTTGTGATCTATGTTACCAAGTTACTCTCCTGAAAGATGTGCTAATTTACGCTTGTACCAACAGTGTATGAGAATGTCTATATCTGCAAAACCTCTCTAAACTTGGTATTCCATCAATATTTTACCTTTGAGATCACTTTTTTTCTTATTTGGAAATATTAACAAGAATGTTTATGTTAACTCAGTGGAGAAAAGTAGGAGACATTTGGATAAGAGAGGTTAATGCCCCTGCCCATTCAGGAATTATTTGGGAGGAAAGCTGCTCATGGGACAAGTCATTTTACCTTCCAGGAGAGATTTGACACTGGCCATTGACTATATGTGCAGCAAACACTTTTTCTGAAGGCTATAGGCATCCACCATGTGACAGATCATGAATCAAATGACCTGCAAGGCTAGATAGCCTTTCTCAGCCCTGCCACAGGCACCTATGTTGATGCTGATGTGACTGATTTTACTTCCTCCCCTTTATTCACCAACAGAGAGGTCGCTATCACACCACCATCTTCTGTTGCTTAGGTCCTGGCTTATGAAGAATAGACTCTGGGAGCACATTGGAAATCAACACTCTTGCCTTATGCAGGACAGATGCTGAAATTCTCTTAAGAGTAGCTTCATGATCATTTTCTTTGTAAACATGGATTAACTCACTTGCCATCTTCAGGCAGAAGAAAATCCTCTTCCCTTCCCCACCCCACCCCTATACCTTTTAGACTCTGCAACTCTGTATTCTGCATTTTTTAAAGAAAATCTACAAATTAGAAATATCATTTTAGGGACAATCAGTATTAGGTTTTAATGTAACAGCAAGTGTTGAATAAGAGAAAATACCTACTTTCAAAGCCCACATGTCAGTAAATAGTAATAATAAAGAAGTAGTGAGTCGTCCTGAAGCGGCGGCCAGAGAAGAGACAAGGGTACGAGCATCGGATCGCCATGCCTTTCTTGGACATCCAGAAAAGGTTCGGCCTTAACATAGATCGATGGTGGACAATCTAGAGTGCTGAACAGCCCTACAAGATTGCTACTCGATGCCATGCTTTTGAAAAAGAATGGATAGAATGTGCACATGGAATTGGTGCTATCCGGGCAGAGAAAGAGTGCAAGATAGAATATGATGATTTTGTAGAGTGTTTGCTTCGGCAGAAAACGATGAGACGTGCGTGTGCCATCAGGAGGCAGCGGGATAAGCTGATAAAGGAAGGGAAGTACACCCCTCCACCTCACCACATTGGCAAGGAGGAGCCTCGGCCCTGAGCAGAGCAGCTGGTGATGTCTGGAGGCTGATTTTCCCGTTCTCTGTTCTCCACTGGAAAGGTTGTTTACGGAAAACCTCCTTGTCAAAGTGTGTAAAAATAAAGGATTGCTCCATCCTATTTGTTATAAAAAAAAAAAAAAAGTAGTAAAACTGGCTCAAGGAAAACTAGCAGAGGATTCAAAACTAGCAGATTCAAATGACCAAATGTACACAGAAGCAGCAAGATTCATATTGTTGAAATGTGACAGTGGACCTTAGAAATAATTAAACGAAACATCCTCAGTTCATGTGATGAATGAGAACATGGATACACAAAGAGGAGACATGACTTAGCCCAGGTCACGTAGTATGTTAGAGGCACTGTCGTGACCTGTGATAATAGCAAATAAGAATGGCATGTTGAATTCTCAACAGCATGTACATTTGGCATTGAAAGGGAATTATTTTTATGTACAGAATGCTCCTATGTGAGCTGAATAATGTCATGTATTGAATGCACTAAAACCAAATGGATGCAATATCCAGTTTATTCTACATTTCCAGTGTTAATAGAGCGTTTTAATCACCTTCTCTAGTCAAATTTGTTTCCTTCAGAACAACACTCCTGCTGAGCACCATGTTTCCATGAAACTCTGTTTTTTTCTCTGCAACTGTGAAACTCTTGTCTTGCTCCTCTGAAATTAGATAACCACAGGCAGGCTCCAGGCTACACCCACATTCTAGAAATATTTTATGAAAGGTTTTCTAACTTCTTGGAGAAGCTGCTGTTGTCTCTAATGGCAAAATCAATAGGGGGAAAATAAAAACACTTTAATTTGGGAAATTCTAGCACTTCCAACCAACGAGACTGGAAAGATAGGAAACAATCTGCTCTGCCCAAACATAAAAGTTCTCCCTGGGAAGTTCAGTGGAACACGGCAGCTTGTCTTAGACTCAGAAAATTCTGGGTCTTTGGGATGGAAAAAAAAAAAAAAATAAATGTCTTTTTGTTGGCTTGTGTACCAGAAACAGAACATTCACTACATGTGGGCTTGCAGGAGAAAAGAGGCCAACTCTGGGCACAGTTTCCTCCCACCTTCCAGAGAAGCCACTGAGCCACACCCTAGTGCCTTCTGTGTGGGGCACAGTTTTAGTTTATTATTATTATTAAACTCACTGTCTGTCATCTTTCAGTAGGTTATGCTACGGTAGCCAACAACACTAAAATCTTAGTGGCTTCAAAAAGAAAGGGATTTTATTGTTGTTGTTTTCCCTCCTTGCTCACACTATCAGCTGCAAGTTGGCACCACTGGTCTCCTTCATTCTGGAATTCAGGCTACAAGCGCAGCCTCTCTCTGGAGCTTGTCATTCTCTCGATAGAGGGCAAGGAGAGCAAGATGGCTGTGGGGAAGCCACAATGCCTCTTAATGCTTTCTGCTAGAACACACACGTTCACTTCCACTCTCATTTCGTTGGCCAAAGCCGGTCCCTTAGCCAAGCTGTTGTCAATATGGCAGCGCAGAGTGGCACACTTCTCGTCTTCTCCGACTGGGGACTCTGCAAGTCACGTGGCAGGGGCAAGCCAAGTGGGGAAGAGGCAGAGAAAACTCGGGAACAACTGCACAACCTGCCACTCAGGCTGAGTCCCAGAAACGTTGTGCTCCTCAAAAGTCAGAGGGGACGGGGTGTTCTGACCAATAGCTCTGAAGCCAAGGGGCATCAATATTTAGTCATGATTCTAAAAGTAGGGATGGGTTAAGGTCAAAGTTCATGGGAGGTGTGGTTTCACTCTATGCAGCCCACATTACCCACCCGTCCCACCCTCATCTTTTCCTCCTTACTGAAATAGGTAGGTTTGATGTGGCTTCTACGTTTTCCAAAATTGGATAAGATGGCAACAACAGAAAAAGTCTATTAGGATGTTTTCCATATGGCTGAGCCTTGGATTTTTTTTATGTGGAAAAATGGTTTAAGTGGGTGATTTTGAGTGGTGGCTGTAAAAGAAAAATCCAATTTTGAATCATTTCTGAGCCAATTTTCCCTACTTGTATGTTTAGCTAAAACAAGGAAAAAAAGCAAGACTGAAGATCAGCTGCTTTTCAAAAATGAAATGAGTCTACTTTTTTTTTTTTTCCTCATGAAAATCAGTTTTCGATGTTGATTCTGAAATGCAAGTCCAGCTCCAGCAAAGGGTTTGCAGTGGATGGTTTGTCTTGCCTTTTTCCCGCTGGGATCTTCAGGCATTCAGTACCCTCATGCTGCCCTCTGCAGTACTCTGGGCCAGGAATCTCCAAAATTCAGCAAAAATGTAGGACACGTGTACTCAGGGCTGGGAACTATGCCAGCTAGAGCTGAAACGATGGATTCCACACTGCCCCTCCCTTCAACAGCCAGCAATCTCAGAGGGGAGACAAACAAGTAAACAAGAAATTAGACTAGAGTGATGAATGCTGCAAGGTTGAGGTACACAGAGAACTTTTCAAGTGCAAAGGAGGGAAGTATAACTCACTTTTACAAAATAGGAAAGGCTTCCTAGAGAGGATGATTTATAAACTGAGAGATGAAGGATGCATGGAGCCAGCCAGGTGACAGAGAGGAGAGGAAATCCTTTCTGGGACTCAGGCTGCACGCCCCTAAGTAGGAAGCAAAGGGTGAAGGGCTTTGTAGTTTACTCGCAGCAGCATCCCTGACCACTAAGATAATGGGATGACGATGATGATTGTTAGTATTATTATGTTGAGACAGGGTCTTACACTGTCACCCAGGCTGGAGTACAGAGGTGCGATCTCGGTTTACTGCAGCCTTGACCTCCTGGGCTCAAGCAATCCTCCCACCTCAGCCTCCCAAGTAGCTGGGATTACAGGTGCATGCCACCATGGCTGGTTGGGTTTTTTGTGTGTGCTTTTTCACAGAGATGGAGTTTTGCCATGTTGTCCAGGCTGGTGAGCGTTTTATAATGGTGATTCTCATCCTGTTAACAGTCTTCTTTTTTTTTTTTTTTTAAACAATAAAAACCCGATCTCAGCTCCTGTTTTTGTGTTTTTCCAAAATATTTATAAACTGTTATAATTTATTTTTATTTTGAATAACTAAAGACCAAAAAGTTAAAAAAAGGATAAGATAAATGCCAGTGTACTTCCCATCCAGAATTAGCAAATATTTGTATGTCATATTTCATTTGATTTTTAAAGAAATAAACTATTAACAATAAAGTTGAGTTCCCTATCAGCCTTTCTCTGGTTATATTTCTTTTCATTCTTCTCTCCTCAGAGTTAAATGCTATCATGAATTTTGTGAGTCTGGTTTTATACGTTTACTAAATATATATTAATAAACAACATTGTTTTGTGTATGTAAATTTTACATAAATGATTTACTGTACATAATATTTTGCAAATTGAATGTTTCTCAACATGATGTTTTCAAGATTTACATATATACTGAGCTTCATGATATAAATATACCAAGATTAATTAGGCTGTACCACTGCTATGAAAATATGGGTTGTTATCAAGTTTGTTTTCTTTCTAGGAGGACTGCAGTAAAAGTGTTTGAATGAGGCTATTTATCTATTTACTCATGTTTACACATTTAAGGGGTATTATCGCAAAATGTGATTACTGAGTCATTGAGAACACACATTTTAAGTTTTGCTAGATGTTAATATCTCAAATTGTTAGTTTTCATTTGTTTTCTTCTTGAAATCTTGGTGAGAATATTTCTTTCCTCTTGATCTTTAGTGATTGTGTGAGGTCCCATGTTAATTTATTTTAATTTGCAATTTCTCCAGTGAGGGAAGATCTGTGCAGATATACTCTTTGTTGAATGATTGGATGTGATGTTTCTCCTCACCACCTTCCCTTGCCTTGGTGCTATTAAATGCATTTCTCATATTTTCAGATCCAACACTCTCTTCCCTCCACACTCTCAATAAATGACTTCACTTCTTATTTAATGGAAAAAATATAAATAATCCAAATAAAATAACCTGAAGAAGTACCTCCAGATTCACTAATGTGTGATTTGTATACCATACTTGCCTTCTCCAGTTACAGAGGGGAGGTGTCCCTGCTTGTAGTTAAGGCCAGTGCTTCCACTTGTACCCTGAATCTCATCTCTCTTAATCTCTTCAAGTCCACAATTCCTCCAATGTCCCCTGACCTCCTACCTCAGGGGTCAGCACACTTTTTCTGTAAAAGACTAGATAATACGTATTTTAGGCTTTGCAAGTCTCATGACATCTGTTGCTATGTTTCAATAAAATTTTACTTTTAAAAATAGGCAGAAGTCCGGATTTGTTCTGCAACAATTGTTTGTCAATTCCTGTCCTATGTCATCCATAATTTCTCCAGCTCTACTAGGGTTTTTCCCTTCAGTGTACAAATGCGCTGCAATACCACCCATTTTAACAAATAGTCTTCCAACTGTGAGGTTCATCATAATTTCTCTTCTCAGTTCAAATGAAGTGAGAATCCATGGGGTCAGATGGAAAGTGCTTTGTGATAGGAGTGAGGAGAACTGATCCTCCCTCTACTTCTGATGCAAAAAGAAAGGAAAAGAAAAATATTGACTTAAACCCACACCTCTCTCTAGCTGCTGCCCCACTTCTCTACTTCCCTCTACAATAAACTTCCTAAAGGGTTGGTCTGTTCTTGATATCCCCACTTCCTTTCCTCCCTTTCTCTCTTCAACCCGCTCCTATCTATGTTTGGTCGACCCTTACATGAAATATTTTTCCCAAAGTCAGCAGCCCCCATCTTGCCAGCTGCCAAGGCCAATTCCCAGTCATCTTCATCTCTTGGCAGCGTCTGAACTGTCTTCCATTATCTTCCTTTTCTGGGTTCCTCTCATACCTTCTTGCCTTCTCTCTCTGACTAAATGCAGGAGTGCCCCAGGCTCAGATCCTGGCTGTCTACTTTTCTGAATCTACCCTCATTCCCCAGATCTTATGCAGTCTCATAGCTTTAAATTACAATTCTTTACAGATGACCTTCAAATTCATGTCTCCTGTCCAAATCGCTCCCCTGAGCTACACACACATCTTAGACTGGATGCCTAAAACTTAGCTCTAGTAAACATATGCAAGGCTGGGCACGGTGGCTCATGCCTGTAATTCCAGCACTTTGGGAGGTGGAGGAG